TAGCCCTCAGCCAAACAAAATTTACAAAACTAACCCTACGGTTAGTGTACAGCCTCGCAGACAGTCTCGGCAGCAGAAATCAGCAAGTCATTGCAGGCTTACCCTCCCCGGGAGCGAGGACCTCCGAGCTAGGGGTGCAGACGAGGCGAACGGCGAAGGTCACCCTTCTCAGCCGCCTCATACCGCAGTACAACAGACTTTGCTGTCTTGATCAGGTCTCTTCTGTAGAACCGTACAACAGACTTTGCTGTCTTGATCAGGTCTCTTCTGTAGAACCATCGGTTCTCAGAAGGGGGCTGGAAAGCGAACCTGACAAGATATTGCCGGTGGGGGTCAGTGCCTCACTCATCCTCAATGGCCACCACATCATATCCCTTACCAAGGACTGGTGGGCCCCATTGAGGAGGCCGGTCCGGGAATGCATCAGCTGGCGTGAAAGGCAACAACTTGGATGCATGGAAGACCGGATAGGTTCGTAGATGCAGCGGGACGTCGATGATGTACGACGGACCGAAGGGATCCGCGCCCACTGTATCTAGGACCTGCCACGGACCCAGGTAGCATAGCAACAGCTTAGGAGAGATATCCTCCTCCCTCGATAGCTCTGAGCTGGCCACCCAGACATAGTCACCAGTGCGGATGGGGGAAGGCCGCCTGTGGCGGTTGGCTTGCTCAATCATGGCCTTTTGGGCCTTGAACAAGTTCGCCCTGGCCTTTTCCACATCCAGACAATAGCGTCTGGCGAACTCTGCAGTGCCTGGGGTAAGGTCAGGTGTAGCCTTATCGATGATATCATCGAGAGGCTGTCGTGGCTCACGTCCCCAATGTAGTCGGTAGGGACCGAACCCTGTCGAGGAGTGGACAGACATGTTATACATGAGTTGTGCCCTCGCCAAGTGGAGATCCCAGTCCTGCTGATCTGGAGAGATCACAGGACGTAACAACTGGAATAGGACTTGGTTCATCACTTCAGCCAATCCATTGGCTTCAGGATGACGACCAGAGGTCATGTCCAGGCATGAGTGCAGGTAGTCCTTGCAGTAGGACTGCCACTCATCGCTGCAAGATCTGGGGTCTCTATCACTCACGATAGAGGTGGGCGGTCCATGGTGTGTGACCCACCTCTCAGAAAAGGCTGCTCTCACAGCCGGTACCCTAGCTACCTCTGGCAAGGGGATGAACTTTGCGTATTTGGAGAACCTGTCCACGCAGACCATAACCTGACGCATGCCACGAGGGTGGTCTTGCCTAAGTCTGTAAAATCGATGGATACAGACTGTGTAGGACCATCAGGTATGGGCAAAGGTTTGAGCAATCCCAAAGGAGGTTTACGCTGGACCTTGTTCCTTTGGCAGAGCTCACAAGTATCCACATAGCGCAGCACATCACTCTGCATCTCCTTCCAGAAGAAGCGTTGCGACAGGGCTGCATACGACTTTAGGAACCCAAAGTGTCCACGCGCATCGTGGCACTCTGACATCAGCAGTGTCCGCAGCTGCTGATCCTCAGGGATGCACAAGCGCTCCTCTCCTCTGTTGTAAGTGTACAGCAGATCTGAACTCAGGGCATAACCTGGTTCAGAGTTGGGATCTGCTTGCAGATTCCTGACGGTGGGTCCATAAGTCGGATCCTGAGGCAGAGAATGAGCAATGGTTTGACAGACCTCCTCTCCAAAGGAATGAGTAGAGCAGATCAAGGCAAAGGAGTCAGGCCTACGAGAGAGGGCGTCTGCTACTTTATTGTAGCAGCCCTTCTTATGATTCAGTTCAAAGTCAAACAGATCAATGAACTGAATATAACGTGCCAACTTATCATTTAACTCTCCCTGGGACTTCAACCACTGCAAAGTGGAATGATCAGAAAAGATCTTGAAGTGCCTGCCCAGGAGAAAGTGTTTCCAGTGTTTCAGGGCACTAACAAGAGCATAGAGCTCTTTCTCGTCGGTGGTGTCCTGCAACTTCTGAGTCTTAATTTTCTTACTCATGAACTCTACCGGTCTCAGACCATTCCCATCATCCTGCTGAAGGACTGCCCCAATGCCATACTAGTTAGCATCAGTAGTCAGTATAAAAGGCAGAGTGGGGTCAGGCAACTTCAGAACAGGTGCACGAGTCAAGGCCTGTTTGAGTCGTGCAAAGGCCATCTGACAGTGGAGGGACCAAAGAAAGGGAGTGTCTTTCTTTGTAAGGTTAGTTAGGGGTGCAGCCATTGCAGAAAAGTTCCTGACAAACTTTCTGTAGTAGGAGGCCAAACCCAAGAATGACCGGACATCTATCACTGTCTGGGGTTGTGGCCAATCCTGAATAGCAGCAACTTTGGCTGCTACAGGGGCCAACCCATCTCCAGAGATCACATGACCCAGATAGATAACAAAGGGAACTCCAAAAGAGGACTTCTCCCTGTTGATCTTATACTGGCTGTCACGTAATGACTGAAGGACCTGAGCCAGGTGCTCCGCATGTTCCCTGGTAGTTTTGCTGAATACCAGGATATCATCCAGGTAGACAACCATAAACTTATCCAGATGCGGCCTGAATATGCGGTGCATCTCAGTCTGGAAGGTTCCAGGTGCATTGCAAAGTCCAAATGGCATCACCAGGTACTTATAGGTACCATACCTGGTTTTGAAGGCCGTCTTGTGGACGTCCTCCTCTGCCATCTCAATCTGGTGATAGCCAGATTTGAGGTCGACTTTGCAAAAGATGGTGCACCTGTGGACCATATCCAGGAGGTCATCGATCCTAGGAAGTGGCTTTGTACTCTTTCTAGTGATCTTCTTGAGACCCCTGTAGTCTATGCACATTCTGAACTCACCACTCCCCCTTGGAACAAAGAGGACTGGAGCACCGAATTGAGAAGTGTTGGGCCTGATCCAGCCCTTGCTGGTCAGGGTCTCAAGCTGTCGCCTGAGCTCCTCAAGCTCAGCAGGCGACATCCTGTAGATGCGGCCCTTGGGAGGGACCGCTCCAGGCAGCAGCTCAATATGATGCTTGGTTGGCCGGTTGGGTAACCCAAAGGGCTCCTGCATCAGATCAGTGTACTGGTCCACAACCTGCTGTATCTCAGGAGGACAGGGAGTAGTAGGAGCGTCTGTCTGCTTGACCAGAGCTATGAACAGACGCTCATGGTCATACTGGCGAGAGAGAGCATAAAACTTTCTCGCTCTCAAGCAGAAGCAAGATGTCTTAGGGTGGTGGTCAGCTGCAATCATGCAAGGCTGATACACCCCCTTGCTGTTTGGCAGTTCAACCTTGGGGATGTGCCAGTCGATCTTTGGGTTGACTGCTCTTAGCCACTGCATAGAGAAGACCAGGTCAAAGGGCAATCAGGGAATATGTAGAAGTTCAGACTATGTCTGACTTCTCCAACGTTGTCGAAGGTAACAGGATACCCCTGACCTTCTCCCTGATGGTCAAGACAGTGGAGTCGCCTATCATGACCTGCAGCGGTTGCTGTAGTTGCACCACTTTCATGCCCAGATGCAGTTTTTTTATTGCACTGGGAGACATGAAATTTCTGGTGGCTCCACAGTCTAACAATCCCTTGATCCTGCAATGGTTGATCAGGGGCCGAAGCAGGATGAGGTCAAACTTGGTCTGCTTTTGTTTTTTCAGATGAAAGAAAAAAGCAGCAAGAGCCTGGTACTCAGACTGGTCCGGTTCCTGATCCGGGTCAGGATCCTCATATGTAAAGGATGCTGCCCGTGCAGCTCCCACATTGGATGGGAAGGAATGAGTCTCAATTGAAGCTGCTGCAGCTGCAGATGCAGTTGCAGCACTGGAGGGAACTGCTGTCTCTAGGTTCAGCTGCAGTTTTTTGACTGAGCTGGATTGGGCATGTAGGGACAGTCCTTCAGAAAGTGCTGCCCCTCACACCTCAAGCAGACCCCCTTTTCCTTCCTCTTCCTCCACACCCCTTCCTGTATCTTCAAATCATGCCAGGGAAGGGTGTTGGGGTTGAGGGGGGCTGCAGGAAAGCAGACGTCACGTGGCAAATTCGGGCGCTGGGCAGGGGTTGAAGAGCAACGTCCCTGGCTCTTCCCCTTGTTACTGGAGGGTGTGCTGGAGGGAGACCCAGCCTTTTGAAAGGCCCCCAGCGCAGCCTGCAGCTGCTGGACAACTGCTGCAACATCTGGAACAACAGCTACTGCAGTCCCACCTGGCGGTGTACCAGGCCGGGATCCTGCATCAAATGATGATCCAGAACCCGCATAAGCAAAGGCCGCCTTTCTCTTTCTACCACCGCGAGGGAAGGCGCCTTTCCTCCTGTCACTGGAGGGGGCCTGAACATGGAGCTTGGCCTCCATGTCCAGTGCTGCTCGTCCAAATGAGCGCCAGTCTTTGTGCCCGGCGCTATACAAAGCGACTGACAACTTCTCAGGTGCAGCCCTGCAAAAGCTAGTCAGCAGATCATCAACAGACATAACCAATCCAGGGGTGGAGGTGAGCTGTTCAAATTCAACAAAAATGGCCTGCAGACTGCCGCTGTAACGCTGCTGTCCAAGGCGTACGATCTTGTCAGCAGCCTTACGGGCGTGTTCCTTGCCTGCAAACCTATCCTCCAGGGCCTGCAGAAGTTTGTCAGCCCCTAGTGCCAATGCCCAATCCTCCAAAGTCTGACTCTGGGCACTGGTTGTAGAGGTAGCCCATTTCAGGGCTGGCCCTTCCAGCAGTCCCACAACCGTTGCCACCTTCTGCTGCTCTGGGCACTGGAACCCCTTGAGATATGCCTGGGTCCCAGCTGCCCAATCCCCAACATCAATCTTGGGGTCATCCCCCTTGAATTTGCTGGGGGCAGGGATCTTGGGGCCTCGTGAGTCCCCAGCAACAACAGCAGCAAAGTTGGGAGGAGGGGTGGCTTTGGCCTGGGAGGAGACTGAGGGAGAAGACTTATGAGAGTGATGGGAGGAGCCAGGAGGTGGAGAAGGAGGAGGAGAAGACTGCTTGGGCTTTGGTGAGGGTCCCACAGGGACCGGGGGACTGATGATGTTGGTTGCTGTTAACTGAGCAGTCAAGTTCTGGATTGAATCCAGGATCTTTGTCTGATGAGTTCCCAGATCAGCCACACGAGTCTCCAGTCTCTGGATCCTCTCATCCCAGTTGGTGAAATGGCTGGCTGTCAATTTGTCTCGCAACAGTACCAGCTCAGCCAGGTCCCTGGTGCACTGGGCCACCCTGGCATCAGCAACAGTCTTATCTGCTTGCTGCAGCAGATGCTCCTTTCTGGAAGCATCTGTTGCAGCCTCCAATTCTGCAGCCTCTTGCCTCTCAGCTTCTGCAAGAAGTGCCTGCTGCTCCTGCAGTTTCTCTTGTATCTCTCTCTTTCGCCGCTGCGCAGGGGTCAGAGGAGGGGGAGGAGGTGTTGTGGCTGACGGTTCCCCTTCAGTCTTGATCACGACCTCCACCTTCCCTACACCTGTGTCAGCTGCGTCAGCCATTTTCCCTCACAGAACAACAACAAACAAAATGAAACAGCAAGGGGGGGTGCAGCGATTTACAGCTCACTCAGACACTCAAATTTCGCTGCACTGTCAGTTCACAAAGAGATGTGGGTTAGTGGGCACAGGTGGTTAGGGTTGGAATAGGACCACTGGGGTCAGCAATCAGGGTAACAGAATGTCTAGTAAAATCATTCACTAATGATTTCCTATTCCTGACACTGAACTTTCACTGAAGTTGCAAAGTGCACTTTCACAGCATCCCAGGGGTGTCTAATATTCCAGAGCCCATAAAAAAGCAAAGCACATTAGTAGTATTGATGGAAACAGGCAAGAACTGACAGAAACACAACAACAGATCGTAGCGATTTAGTAGACTACACCCTGACAACCCCAAACTCAAATTTCGCCATTGTTGACATCAACAAAAATAACCCCAGGTATGGCAGATTTCAGGAATACCCTGTTATGACTCAAATACAGTGTTTCTGGACTAGCGATTTAGCACAGATGCTAAAAATAGAATTGCGATTCACCCCAGACTGACAGACTTGAATTCTGACGGTCAGATTTTGAGTTATGACTGACCCTAGGTAGCCTGGACTATAAATAGACCCAACGCAAAACTCAAATCCACAATATCACTACCTTTTCCGTACAGAATGCACAAAATAAACATACAGGATGCAGGGCAATACTGTCAGACAGTCCCAGAACAATTTAGAGTCAGAACAGGTCAATAGATGGAGAGATATGAGTCAGGGTAGGGAGGAAGAAAGTGGATATGGTTGTCTTGCAGTCTGACAATTTCACGATTGTTGCACTACTGACAGACAGACCATTAATCCTACTTTTACTGATGCTAATCTAATAGCTATTCAGGGATTCATATGGAACAGACTCACTTGAAGTATTTCACTCAGTGGGTGCTGAAGCTTTGGCTATGGCTGCCAAACCCTGGTCTCGCCAGTCCTTGCAGACAATCTTCCAGAGTTTCCCACGTACAGAATCTCCTGAAACTTGTTGATCATGCCCAGTATGATGTGGGGATTCACCCCCAACACTCAGATGCGCTGCATCTGCCCCTGTGGCGAGAGAAAACTCTCCTGAAGATATCTCGCCACTGCAGGTTATGAGCTGCTGGTGCTAAATTTAGCCCTGAGGAGGGTTAATTTAGCAGGAGGTGATCCTGTGATCAAACCTCCCTCAGCGCTACCCTGGGATTGAAGCCGCCACCCAGTAATCACTGGATTAGGGTATAATTCGCCACCCTGATCCCAGTCATCAACTGAGGTCAGTTGG